TAATGGTTGGTCTTCTTGAAAGAGAACCTCCCTTTTTAGGTATTAATAACACTTTGGATTTGTGCTCTGCAATTTTCAGTTTAAGGTTGTCACATAGGGCGTAGAATTGTTGGCACACTTCGTTACAGTGAGTCTCTAATTCTCTTCGGGTTCGACCTTTCACTATTAGCGCTGCGTCGTCTGCGTAGACATCTTTGTGTGCGCTGGCCATGTAGCTGTTAAAACTTCGTTGAAAGTTAGATTCCACAGGTGTGGACCAGCGCACGACCCTTGTGGACAGCCTCTCGTCTGCTCCTGTTCTATTATGCCTGAGTTGTGAACTGCTAGTAGTCTATCCTGTAGATAGTTGCTTAGCATCTTATACAGGTTGCTCGGACATTTTGCCTTCCGCAGAGCCTGTTTGATAGCCGGCCACCATAATGTATCAAAAGCGTTTTTGAGATCTATGCTTATCATGGCAGTATGGTGGCCGCTATGTCGATTCTCTAAAATTGCTTCTCTAATGTCGAAGAGTGCGTGGACTGTAGAAGTGCCCGTCCTAAGCCCGTATTGTCTCGAGCTTAAGAATCCTTGCGTGTGTAAATGGTACCGTAGCCTGTTCATGATAATCCTTTCTAGTACCTTGCCCATTGCCGACAAGAGACAGATAGGACGAAAGGATGTGACCTCGGCTGGGTTCCGGTTCTTTTTTCAGAAATAAAATAACTTGCCCTATCTTGTAGGGTTTTGGGAATATACCTGCTGCCAGGAAGCTTGTTGAAATAGTCAACGAAGAATTTAGGGTGCGTTTTGATCGTTGCTTTGGTGATAACATAGCCCATCCCATCAGGCCTAGGGGCTTTCTTGCGCGGCAGAGTTGCAAGAACTTTTTGAAGTTCATTAATTGTAATATCCGGGTCTGTTGGGATGTCCAGTGTGGTTGTTATTGTCCTGAGAAGAGCTTGTTCTGCTGTGTCCTGCAGTACATCGTCTTTGCAGAAAACTGCGTTTAGAACCGTCCGTAGGGTGTCTGCCGTGTACTCCTGACTGTTGGTGATTGAGAGAGGGATCTGTAGCTGCGAAGGTTTAAAAATTTTACCGGTAGCTATTTTGTGGTGAATACCATACGTCTTTTTTGCTTGGGTGCAGAATTCCCTCCAGGAGGTAATCTTAGCCTGAATAATCATCTTTTTGTACCGCGCCCGCTCCCGTTGAAATATGGTGAGGGTGTTGGACTCTATCTCCAACCGTCTTTCGCTTTTGAGTTTTCTTCGCAGGGCTCTGCACTTTCGTTGCTGTGTTCTGAGTGCACTCGACCACCAGTTAATGCCCTGCAGTCTCTTAGGTTTTCTAAGAGATTTTCATTACATATGGCTTGCATTGTTACTAATGTTACGGAGAAGTCTTCTAATTCTGCTGCCGTGTTAGCTAGTTGGAGTGAAGGTTCGAGGCGCATTAGCTGCACTTTAATTTTCTTCGTAAATGTTATTAATTTCCGGCCAGGAAGGTTATAGCGTTTGATCTTGGACACGGAGGTGGTCTGCGATATAGAGAAGGTAATGAACTTGTGATCACTGAGGCTCTCTTCCTCTTCGACTTTCCAGTCCTGCAAAAAGAGGTGCTATGTGCAGAGTGGTCAGGGTGAGGTCTGGCCATCCCTGCACCAAGACCCTGTCAAAGGATGGCAGTGCATCTGCTGTATTCTGAACTATTAGATTACTTAAGGATATGAAGTCCTCTTCTTTTCGGTCTGTAGTGCGATATCCCCAGGCAGTATTATGTGAGTTGTAGTTGCCTGCGAAGATCACATTTGGGATTTTAAATCAATGTATGATTTTTTGGATGAATCTTGTTGTCGGGCCAATATCCGCTGCTGTTGGAGGAGAATAGATTCGACGCTAAGATAACAGAGAAGGAATGTACTTCTACGAGCACTGCTACATGATCTTGATCGAGTGAGATAGATGTTGGAGACCAGTCTGGATTACATACGGCCGAGCGTAGTAACAACATAGAGAGACTTAGCCACGCTAGTCAGAAACTCTGAGATTCTCTAAGCTGTTACTACTTTCGACCGTATTACAGGCCCTCGATAGCTTCATTAGCTTATTCGATATTTAGGGGCCAACTACTGAGAATTTTGATAGCTTCGGCTATAGCTCTTAAGCATTAGTTAAATTTTATGTCCTATCATTTTGAGTTCAAGCCCAAGTGGAGGCATTGCTTTACGCCCTGAGAATGGGGCCATCTGTCACTCTTATTTTGAGAAATAAAGGGTAGTTAACCCTTCTTTAGTTTACGAACTAAAGCAATTATTCTCTTAGCTGTTCAATAGGTTCCTCCACATTTAGCTGTTAGATAAAAGGGTGGAACCCCGCAAGATGAAACTATGGTAATACAGAAAATCGTGAATTAAATTTAAGCCTTGGAGCGAGAAAATGGAAGCTAGAAAAAATAATCCTAAGGCACTCGCGTTCCAGGATGGCGAATTTAGAAAGAAAAGCATTTTAAACTTCAAATAGTGTGCACATTTATGCACCACAACTAAAAAGTTGAATTAATTTTATTACTACAAATTTTATTTCGACAGAAATTCAATTACTGAAATTAAAAGAATAATGCTGCTTTGACGAGCAGAATTTAGATCTTAAAATATATCAGTTTCTATTAATTTTTTTGTTGCAAGAAGAATCTGTAATATTCCTGAAATGCTAAGAAATTATGTGTTAGTTTGTTCTCTGCTTTAGAACAAACACACACATCAGCCGGAATGATGAAAACTCACTATAACTTTCTAACAATCTGTAATGCATTTTACGATAACTGGGCAGTTTTCAATGAGATATGGTCAGGAATTCACAGGGTACAAGCACTTAATAACTCGGAACATTTAGCCCGGAACTGTTGCAAATTAAGGAATTTAAAGCTACAGATATTTAGGTGTGTGCACATTGCAAACAACTAAGAAAGAAATTTTAATAATTCTTTAACTATGCAGAGTCATTATGTTTATTAACGTAGCAGACGTTAAAAACGTGCAGGGCCTTCACTGGAATCCGAACACAGGACCTCCCGACTGTTAGCCGGATGTGATATCCATTGACATCACGAGGGCACGCTGAAAATAAAGTTAGAAGATGCCTTATATGCTCCCCTTTGAAAGGGCAGTTGGGGAGGAGAGAACTCAGTCGCGAAATCCCGGTGCTGACGAATTATCACCCCTCCAATTTTATTTTAGTTTGAGCTTTACTTGTAGAGTACTCTAGAGTTTTTGAGGAAGGAAACGTGAAAAATCTGCTTAATGTCTTCTAAGGAATTAAAACATCGGTCTTACCGACAACTGACAGGACATACTATCCAGCTACATCATGAAGGCAAGCGGTAAGGGGGGGGAAATGCCTTATAACCGCTACCATCATTATCGAAACTTCCATTAAAGATTTTTAAGTGAAAGTACTATTTTCGAATGACGAATTCAAATTGTATTTCCAAGAACCCCAAACATAAAATGCTGTTATGTGAATAGGGTTAAAGATCATATTTTATTTTATACAAATTACTATGTTTTACAAGTTTGTCGATTCTGCATTTCAATCTAAAACCATTTACCAATCATTATTTTTAAATAACTTTAGCTGACAATCAGCTTTGGATTATTTATGCTTAAGGATGAGATTTGAGTTAACTTTTTTCTTGACCTAAGATTTTGCTGAAATCTAACTAGGCGCTGTCTTTGCAACTTTATCTTTAAAAACTGGCGTCATTTCTTCGAAAGGATAATCATAAATTGTTTATAATACTCTGCTCAAAAAAAGGAAAACTTTTATAGTCCTCTAGGACATTGTAGTTTAAAGATGAATTGCGCATGAATATGGGTGCACAAAAGCATTAGCAATCGAACATTTCATAAGATACCAGATCCGGCTTTAAACATAAGGCGACATGAGCAGCACCTAGTGCGCCGACTCCTAGTGCGCGAACCAATTTAATCTCAAAAGCGTCAATATCGGGGTAAAATCAAAAGGTTAAAATGCTAAAATACTATAGTGTATTAAAAGGGATGCCTGGGAAAGCGAATTTTGAACACCCTGGACTCCAATCTTTGAGTAAATCTAACCTTCCAAAAACATGCAAAAATTCTTGAAATATTAAAGGAAATTGGGCTTAAATGAGCTGTGACTGAATTTCGACATTTGGTAGGAATCTTAAATGCTGAATCTGCATTCAAAATCATTAGAATTCAACGAAAGAAACGAATGTTGGGTTATAAACATTTAGACGAAGCTCCCATAAGTTCAAAAAGAGTGTTCAAAGAAGTTTCTTCTTTTTGCTAATTGATAAGTATTTTCTTCCCTAAACCAATTATTTGAGTAAAAATTAAACATAAAGAGCTTACATTGGTTACTTCATCGTTGTACTAAAAAAGGATAAGAGCTTATTAAAGGAAACCTTCAAAAATTTCCAGTTTTCTTTAGCGTGAATGGCAACTGAAGGTAGAGTTAGCAGTCATCAATCTAATATTAAAATGATGAAGAGATGTTCAATGAATTTTACAGCTCATAAGCTCTCATACTTGCAGTGGCAAAAATACTAAAAGAAATTGCTTTCTACTTTCATGCCTTGAAATAGCTAATTCTAACATTTCGGTCGTTCAACGAAACTTTTTTTACAACTTATGTATCAGAGGCTGCAGGTATAATACGGTTTAAAAATATTAATGTGTTTAATTTACGTGAGCTGCCAGTTGCATTGATCATCCGCGGCGCCGACAGTACTGGGGTTGTGCCTGCATTATCACCTAAAATGAAGGGTATAATACAAAATCTTGAAGCCACAAGATATTCATGCACAATTCATGCGAATCATGCTAGTAACTTTCTAGCATTTGTGTCATTCATCATTACTATAAAATAACCATTTATATGAATTTTAAACAATCCCGTGCCTTGTCATGAAATCCCTTCCATTAAGTTGTGAAGCCATTAGATTATTTTGAAGCAGGGGACATGAAAAATGTGCAGTGCCCTCGCCGGGACTCGAACCCTGGACCTCTCGAATATATGTCGAGTATACTTCCAATTATACCACGAAAGCATGTGGAAAGAAGGGACAAAATACCTTACGTACTCCCCCTTTTAAAGGCGACTGCGGATTAAGGGACCCAATTTCCAAATCCTGGTGGTGACAAATTATCGTTTACCAACTTTTAGGTCAGGGGCCAATCACTATACAGTCATTGGGATTTTTGATGCAGGACGCGTAATACATGTGCAGTGACCTCGCCGGGACTCGAAACCTGGACCTCTTGAATACGCGTCAAGTATGCTTCCGATTACACCACCAAGGCATGCAGAAAAGAGGGAGAAAAACCTTATGAAGTAATCATTTGAATATATAAGTACAGTTCTTTAATGCATCTTTCTAATTTTAGGGAACACTACGAAAGTTTTCATATTCTGAATATCTGAAGTTCAAATAGTTTTCTAAGTATAAAGAATGTTTTGAGAATTGGATTATCTCAACATAATTTCAATAGCAAACCAAAGCGGTGGGGAAAGGTCTTACAAAAGTGGAGTACATTGAACTGAAAACTCGTAAATAACAGAGCAGAAGATTAGCGTAATTATCCCTAACGACAGTAATATCCAAGTAATTGAACTGTAACAAATGTACTTCTTTGATATATAACTACAACTATAAAAATCTGAAAGGTTTCAGATTTTAAATTACGTCCAAAGAGGCGTTTTTTGAACGTTCTGTGTGTTACCTTTACTTATTAAATATCATGTTCTTTGCACTTAAACCATAAAATTCAGTTCAATAGCAATGTCGTAAAATAATTTTAAAATGAGCGTATCTTTAGAATTTCCGATACACAGTTCCGCTCGCTGGAGATAAAACGTTTTTTCCCCCGTAGAGTGCTGCCATTGATCGCTTTGAAATCCTTGAGTTTGTTAATGAAAAATTCGTTAAAGGTTTACAAAATATGAAATCGATAATAAAACAAATTCCAAATTTCAAATTTGGTCTTTCACATGCCCATATTCGTAGGAGGATTACATCATTCAAAATTCGATGGCTCTATGTACCGTTGCTTTATCACAATGCCAGAAATATACATACATTTATGCAGATTTTTCATTATTTAATTCCTTCAAATATAATGCAGGACTCTAAGATTTGGTGGCAACAGTTTGAGAAGTGAAACGGACATTTATAGTGATTCAACGCAAAATCGCAAAACTAAAAGAATAGTCTTTCAAGGACAAAGCCCCTTTGGACTAACAATGCTTACAGCTATTCCAAGCAAATCAGCTAAGATGCCAGCAATTTGAGTTACGTAACTCCCTATCGAAACTAAGTCAGATAGTATTACAACAATTGATAATCAACATCAGAAAAATAGCTCGTTCCGTAGAATAGTAACTGAACTGTAAGAGCACAAACTATTGTAATGTAAGCTTATTACTAGGTATTTATTAAAAATAATGTTGTAAAGTAGTTAAAAATAACAGAGAAACTCTAGTCAATGTGTAATTGAATTTTAAGTTTACTGTGATTACGTCAGTTATTGTAAATATGAAATCGGATAATGTTTAAATGTACACATAACACATAACTGTTATGATTATACACAGGACTCGTATGGCCATAGAAGAAATAATTCATACTGCCAGGATGACTTTTAACACTGTGAGCCTTACTTTTACAACAAAATCAGGTCAGTGGTTATCCCAGGCGACTGTCAGTAAACGTTGTATAAAGCAAATATTGTTAGGAAATGTTTGGTTATTCAAAGCTTAATATGATAGTGCAATATAATAATTATGAAACTCCTAATGCTAAGAAAAGTATAAGATAAATGATGAGAAAGGCGAAATCAGATATTTTGAGGTGTAAAAGGAGATAATGTTTATTAATTAATTTTTCATGTCATTCAAAATCTCTAAAATAACTGATTATTCAGATTTAATACATTTATGTCATGGGAATGGTAAGGATGAGAAATTTTATGCTGCATCATGTAAGATTACAATTAAATGTAGGGCCAAACGAAAAATAAATTTTGCAGAACTTTTTCTCAATTAAGGTAATTGCATCTAAATTAAATTTTGCATTATTTTAGAAGAAAGCAAGATTAAATTTTTATATATTGCTAATAGTTAAAAAATGGAAGCGGAACCAGTTATTAGGTAAATTAAATATGTAGAATTTGAGAAAAATTTTGTCGAAGATTTGAGGGTGTGGTCAGGCGTATAATGTCTGCCAGTAAATATTACATGTCGTACAAAATATAATTTCTAAGATTTCACATGAGCAAATATTTCAACATTTGACTGAAATATGCTGTCAAAATCTTTCAATAAACAACGAATTTGTTTTAAAAAATAAATTTTTGTGAAGAATTACTTACCTCATTATGGAAGACTTAAGAGATTAGAGATTTATTCACATAGGAAAAGCTGTATTTTCAAGATTTATAAGCTGACAAATTATTTTTTTGCTTATAAAGAATATCTGAATTCATACAGGAGACATAAAGATACATTAAGTATATCTTTTACACATTTATAAATCTGTTCAAATCGTTTAGTCCATCAGCCCTCAAAGAGAACCATCTGTTCCACTGGAGTTGGAAACATATCTAAAAATGGCTTTTGCCGTTGCAAAATTTCCTAAAATGTGAAGTACAGCTTCACGAGATCTGAAGCACAGCGATAAGGAAGTGAAAAATAATCCCTTTCACTGTCACGCTGAAAAATGCGTGTGTTACTATTTTCTTCACTTCTTTTATCGTAGCTGTTTTATTGATATGCAGTTATTTATGTTTTTAGCTCCCGACTCCAAACGTAATATCACAAAAGACATTGCTCGAAGAAGTACCGAGAACTTCAAATGGAGGACTTCATTGCTTTTGCAGTCTTTAATGATCTTAACGTAATCATTCGGTACTTGTATTTATTAACTACTTAAAATTGCAAGTAATTGCTCATAACTATTAAAATGATTTATAAAGTTATCAGTCACTTTCTTAGAAAGCTTAATATTTTATTCAGCTTAACATTATTGCAATTAAGTCTTGAGAGACGCAAATATTACTTTAAATGCAAAGATGCCACTTAATGGAACAGTAAGAAGGTATCATTTTTGAGCTTCTGCTGAAAATCGGTACCACATATCTCTAACATACTTGTCGCTGTAAATGTAGACTGTTAAATTATGTTTTTGAAGATTTCCGATTTAATTTCAAACCAAAAGTATTTATTTTTAAAGAAAAAAAAATTTTTCCTCTTTGTGAACATCAAAGAATCAAAGATAGTTCCAAAACCGATTAAAAATTATTTCTTTGCAATTAGTTATTATATTCTTTTAGACTACTAGACTGCAGAATAGCGAAATGAAAATCTATTGTTTTATAATAATTACAATTAAAGTTAAATTATTTTCTCATTGTCTTCTATCTGTTTGTTGAGTGTGTAAACGAGTTGCAAATAGGAAGATTCGCAGCGGTCGCTATGCATATATGTCTCTGAATATAAGATAAAAGATTTGTTAAAGAAAATACACAGTGCGACTGCGCAATTTCAGGACTGACTATGTAAAAACAATTTTAAAGACACCAGTCGCTAAGCGTTTCAAATATATTCTTAATCTGTATTTAACATTCTACATACATTAAACTTTATTTTTAGTCTACTGTATACGTTCCTTTTAACTCATGTCTTGGTGAGTTCATATAACCTATGAATGTTTTGAAAAAAAAATCCTGAATGTTATTGGTAATAATTGGTATTAGTTACTTGCTCAACCGTGACTGAGACAAAAATATTAAGTCTTAAATTTCTGCAGTTTCAGAACAGATTTTGGCATAAAAAGTTAGCGAAACAGACACATATAGTGTAAGAAAATAGAATCTTTAAAACTGTTGTACAAGAAAGATTCTAAAGAAATTGAAATTCAGCTATGTTAATAATCTCATTGTATTGCTCTTTTTAGACCAAAATTCACACCACACCAAAAACTTTAGCAAAAGCGGAAACCTTTTACCTTTACGGATAAATCATGTTTCTGTTACATTATTTCTTAAGGACTAAATTTCGCGATGGAGAGACGGTACGGAATGCTTTAGCCTTTAAAGAATATTTGACTGGCTGTAGCCATGTCAGTAAAGCTTCAATCAATTAGATATACAGTCAACATAATAATTATAAAATATTATAATATAACTGTAAATAATAATTAGAAAATTCATTACAGAAGCTATATATACTACTAGAGATCTTATAGTTTTTCTGTTTCATGAATCTTCTCGGACTTTATTGGAAAGAACATTTAAAACCTGAAACTCTAGGCAATATTCTGCTATGCTTCTCGATAGACATACACCATTCTTGCATTTATAAACTGTCAGCTGCAAATGGCGTAACAGGTGTTGCGCCACATGCTATTTAACTGTTGTATCAATTATTAGTACGTTATTAAGGAAAATTAGGTCGAGCATTTATTGTGGTCTTATCTTCATCAGCGCGTCGAGTTAGTCTTCAGCAGAACTATTAACGTGTTTACTACAAGATTTCCAAGAGGTAAGTTTTTCTGAATGATTATTAATCGTTAGATACTTTGGGAAATATGTATTTATAGCTTCATTCTAAATGGTTATATGATCGGAATTCAAGATTTTTTAAAAAATTTAAGAATCTGTTAAGGACTTTCAAAGTATTATAAGATTTCAAGGAATGTAATTGACTATAATGTAATTTGAAGTTACCGAAACAACATAAAAATGATACAGTTTGAAGAAAACGCTGAAATTTCTTAGTTAAATAAACATGTAATGGGGAGGCTATTCATCAAAGCGGTTGCCTCTTTGGCCATTTTGTTTAAAGTGTCCTGTTTAAGGGCATGTAATTGTTGAGAGTGGTTAAGAAACGCGCAGATAATTATTATTAAATGAAAATTATGAGAAAATACTAATCCAACTTATTTCGATGATGATGAGCTCAATTATATCAGTATTCGTATTGCAAAACAAAAATGCCTCTAACGTGCCAGAATTTTATACATAAAATTCCAGAAATCGGGCATTTTGTATTATGGTTTGATATCATTGAGATAAATTCGATTCTATTTTTTCTTGTTTTTAACCATTTATATGAAAATGACCTACAAATAATCCATAATCCGTTAACCATTTATCTTTATGTGTATCAAATATTTCCATCAAAATTAAAATTTTGCAAAATTAATAACATATTTTAAAAATTGTTTCGCCTTTGATAGCCAAAATCAAAAGTCACGATACAGTTAGTCTCAAAGCTCCAAAACACATAGATGCGTTTCATAACCATCACAATTTCTTCAATTGCATTTACTTGTCTAAAATCCCAGTGAGCAGAGCCATTGCGGCGGAGGTGATATACTTTCGCATCCTAAAGCAAAAGGAGCAAAGAATTTACTGTTAGAACTGTTTGGTCTTTTAGATAGCAATGTGAGAATTCTAGCATTTTGCAACGCTAAAAGTAAAGGACTTGTCATAAACGATAAATTACTTCGCAGTTCATAAGATTTAGGGCTTAGCTATGGCCGAATGGATAAGACAATACACGAATTTCGTCGTGGTTCCTGTTATCGATCTTTCTGTGTACACTTTCCGCGATTTCTAGTATCACTATTAAGAGCTTTTAATAGGAAAATTACTTAGGAAACATATCTAAGTTTCTTTCTTTTTGGATTTTGCTGAAATAGTGTCAATAAAAGTTCTGAATTTTCATCTGGCAGATACAGTAAACCTAATTTTCAAAAGATCTGGAAATTTGAAATCTGAAAATGATTAGTATTATTCATGTAGTACAAATTACGCAACATAAAGCTCATTAAATCAGAAAATACTGGTTAGGATTTCAAATTACTTAGTAACTTGTTATTTATTAAAACGTAAGCAACTAGCAAAGCCTATAACAACTAACAAACTAACAAAGTAACAATTAGCAAAGCCTTATAAATTCGGCGATGAAAAACATATGTACTGCCTACTAGTATCTTGATTTTTAAAAAGTGATTAAGCAAATATTAGCACTTACCAACTTATTACGTAACTAAACATAAGTAAAATTTAAATATGTAAATAAAATTTAAAAATCAAGATAGCGAAATAATACTAAAACGAACAGAAGCTCTAATAACTATAACTATGTACATGAAATCCAAAATAAAATAAAAAAGAAAAAAAGAAAAGAAAAAAATCTGGAAGGTTTCAGATTTTAAATTACATCCTAAGGGGCATTTTTTTTAAAAGTTTTGTGTAGTACCTTTATTTATTAAATATCATGTTCTACATATCCAAACCATAAAAAAGTTCAACAGCAGTATCGCAAAATCTTTTAAATGAGCATATCTTTAGAATTTCCGATACAGTTTCTCGCGCGCTGAAGATAAAAATCCCCCCCCTTTTTTTCGTACAATGTTGCTATTGCTCGCTTTGAAATCGTTTAGTTTGTTAATCAAAAAGTAGTTGAAGTGTTACAAAATATGAAATGGATAATAATACAAATTTCAAATTCCAAATTAGGGCTTCCACATGTCCATATTCTGCGGAAGATTACGTTATACAAATTTTGATGGCTCTAGGTACCGTTGTTTTATCACAGTGAGAGAAACATACATACATTTATGCAGATATTTTTTATTTAATTTCTTTAAATATAACACAGGGCTCTAATATTTAGTGGCAACAATTTGAAAAATGAACCGACATATATAGTGAACCAACGTAAAATGCCGAAGCGAAATAAATAGCCCTTCTGGACTAACGCCCTTTGGGCTAAAAATGGAAATGCGTACTGAAAGAAATTTTTTAAATGTAGAAAAATTAAAAACTGTTTTGTGAATAAAAAAATTAATTAATTAAAAAATTGTGAGGATTGTGCCTAATAAACTGTGAGCAAACTTAGAGAACGCAAAATAGTAATTTAGAAAAGTTGCTATGAATTGTAGGTAATCTAAAAGAGATTAAAGACGAAAAAAAAGTTGTCAAATGCTCTAGAATATAAAACTCACTCAAGCGGTTTTTTTTAAACTTTGGAGGTGAAGTAGACCCAATTTGTTAATAAAAGAGATAGAAAAGTATTAAATAGTTTAATTTAAACTAAAATCAGTGTTCAGGTGTGTTAAGAACATCGAAACGTTATCGCCATAATGGTTTCATTATAATCAATCATGAAAAACAATAGTTTGGTAGTGAAAATAAATTTTTAGATTGACAACAGTATTTTAACAAGCTGTTTTTGAACAGGAATTTTGCTATCTTTTTTATGATTTTGATTTTTTTCTTTTTTTATCTATTTTATGAAGTAGCATGAATACATAGAGAAATTATAAGCAAACATTTGCACTGCCAGAAAAAATATCTGAAATTCTTCTTAGCTTTAATCTAAACAGAATATTAAGCAAAGTGCATGAAATATCGAAATGCGGTTTTCATGAGAGAAGCGGACGACAAGATTATTCTTACAAAACGTTTTGCGTCTAAAAACAGGTATTAGTTTAGTATGCATAAAAGGTGAGTCTTAAAGGAAAAAAAAAGAGAGAGAGAGTTTTCAACTACACTTTAACAGTATTTAATCCCAACTCGGTATACCACCGACTAGTAAACCTTTTCGTTACTTGACTAAATAAATATCATTTAATTATTATCAACTCACACTTTATACTCTCTATAAGCAAGATGTGTTTCAAACCATTCGCTATATTTTTTATCTCATTTTTTTTTAGTTTATATATTACATATGTGCTTGACTAAATATTTCTCATTAAAAACAATTTCAACTTTTTGATCGCGTTTTCATACTGCAGACACATAAATTTAATCAGCTTTCAAGCATTGATATTACTGATTTTTTTTGGTAAACTTATGTATATTGCTTATTAAACACATTATAATTTATCACACTTCTTTTTGAGTTGTATGTACACGAAAATGTATGAAAGAAATGCTAAGAAAATTTTCTAATTTATCTCGCAACAAAGTATTTATATCATTTACTCATTTACTTCTTGCATCTCTTAAAAGATAACTATCCATTTACTTTATTCATTAACCTATAGAAATCTTTAGGTTTCTCGGCGCGGAAGTAGTGAAAAATCAATTCCAACTAGTCGTTTAAGTCATTTAAAATCAGGATAACACGTGAGACGAGCTGCAATAATTCGTTACACACCTTTCCAAGCACTCTACGTACTTGTAAAGAGATGTCATCTATTATAATCCCCTTCTTTGTTCTGGAAAACTATTATTTAGCAATGTTTTCTATATTTTCCCTTCTGCTTAATCATGACTGTACGCATTTTTTGAATAATTATTATATATTTCCAAATATAAACCATACATATATATATATATATTAGCCAAAAAGTAAGATTTTGCTGCAAATATTCAGATAAAATTGAAAATCCATATATAAGCCGATTTAAAATCGCCATAAAAATGTCTCATTTTTAGTACATTTATATTAATGATTTAAATGGTCAAATTATTTGTTGTCAAAGCTTTGTTTGTCTAATCTAAAAATAAGGTTAAGAGCACTTGGCGCTTTGATTATACCCTGTGATGAATTTTACTTTGTTACCAGTTGTCAAGGTCAATCAGGGTTGTAGCACTCAAGGCAAACAAACTCCAATGCTGGCTCTCCCCAACGCTGATACCACTTACTTACACGAGTGCAAGAAGCGAAGACAAAGAGAATAGGCAAGAAGTTGCTTTTGCGCAGACTTGGAGTCAGTGACGTCATGTAGAGTAAACCTTGTAGAACCGTAACTTTCTTAGCAACCATTCTCCAGGAATCACAAAATTTTCTCCGTCAGTTAAGCTCTTACTTTTTTTCTCCCAATGGCAGATTGTGAACAATTGCAAATGTAATCCAATCCATTAATCTATACAAGGCCGGATGTGGTAGTCTTTTATTATGGAGGCACCTAATAGGTGGGCCACCATCGCCTTTCCTATGAAGGGACGGACAGTTACAACCATGCCTTCTCCGGGATTCGAACCCAGGTCCTTCGGCATCGCACTCAACTTCCCTGACCACTATACTGGGCGGCGTTAAGCTCTTACTTTCCCAAGTAAAACGCAATCTTCTTATCAAATACGTAGTGAAAAATGCTTTGACAAAATTATGGTAGTGTTACAACTTGGTAGTACAACTATGGTAGTGTATTTTGCTACTGTTACAAATTGTGCTGAAATAAACTGAAGATCTGCAAGTCGGATGACAACATTGTTAACATTTCGGCGGCTGCGATATTAAGCAATTCTTTCTTCCCAAATATGCGCGATATGTGTCAATTGTAAATTTGTAATGCGAATTGTGTTCGCTTGCTTCCACTACGATGTGGAACCGGAATGCGAGCTGAGTTCCTTGATGACCACTAAAGGCCCTTTGCACTCGGTGCCTTTTTCGCACGGCGCACCAGCAACTCGAGACGTTTCGCAGCCTTTTTGACGCATTCCTTACAAGTAACTTTAAATCATTACACACACAAGTTAATGTATACAAGTTTTATATTTTAACATTTTATAAATCTTTGT